TGACATCTGGTAGGTGCTCCACAAAGACTTGTTGAACAAGTGAGTGGATGGAGCCAGGTTGCCTGGGCTCTAGTCCCAGCCTCTTACAGGGGCTAATTTCATAACCTTCCCATGGCTCAGTCTTCTCATCTGTAAAATGGGGAAGCTCACAGAACCAGTCTCATAGGGTTATAAACTAAATGAATTAATACAGTGCTTAAAATAGTCCTGGATCAAGGTAAGTTTTTCAGTAAGCTCTAAGCTATTAATATTTGCAAGCTCAGAATCAGAACACTTGAGATGTAGACATAACAATCTGTTGTAATAGAAACTAAAAATGTAACTTATAGGCAAGTCACTCTTCAGGTCACTGGTTTCATTCCCTCCCTTCCACCCAAATTGACCCTTCTTTCTTGGCCTAGTTTTTTCCTTGGATCTTCCATAACACCAGATACTCCTGGTTTTCCTCCTACCTCAGTAGGCATCTCTTCTTAATTGCCATTGTAAGAGCCTTCTCTGTTTATTCCACCTTTATTTTTTTTTAATGTTTCAATTTGAAATAATTACAGATTCATAGGAAGTTGCCACAGAGTATACAGAGAAGGCTCACATACCCTTCAGGCTGTTCCTTCCAATGGTAACATCTTCCGTAACTGTAGTAAAATATTAGAGCCAGGAATGTGGCATTGACCCAGTCTGCAGGGCTTGTTCAGATTTCATCACCTTTATGTGCTAACCTTAAAGCATTTGTGTATGTGCGTGTGTCTGTGTGTATGTGTAGTTCTATGCAATTTTGTCACCTGTTTAGTTTTGCGTAATCACCACCAGAACTGCTCCATCACCACAAGGCTTCCTCATGCTACCTCTTTATAGCCACCATCCCTCCCAAACCCTAAACCCCGGCAGTCATTTATCTGTTCTCCATACCTGTAGTTTTGTCATTCAGGAATGTTTTATACATGACTATGTCACCTTTGGGGATTTATTTTTTCATTCAACATAATTTCCTTGAGATCCATCCAAGTTTTGAGTCAATTAATAGTTGATTCCTTTTTATTGCTGTGTAGTTTTCCATGGATAGATGTAGCACACTTTGTCTAACCAGTCACTCTTTGAAGGACATTTGGGTCATTTCCAGTTTTTGGCTATTATGAATAAAACTCCCATGAACATTCATGTCTGTATACAAAATTGTGTATTGTATGAACATAAGGTTTCATTTCCCTGGGTAAATAAATGCCCAGGAGTGCAATTGTTGGGTCATATGTTAAGTGCATGTTTAGCTTTTTAAGGAACTACCGAACAATCTCCCAGGGTGGCTGTACCGTTTTACATTCCTACTGGCAATAGATGAGTGATCCTGTTTCTCTGCCTTGCTGGTATTTGGCACTGATACTTTCTATTTTAGCCTGATAAAAAGTAAATACTTTCTATTTACTTTTTATTCTGCTAAGTGTGTAGTGATAATCTCATTGTGGTTTTAATTTGCCTTCCCTAATGGCTAATGTTGTGACCATCTTTTCATGTGCTTATTTGCCATCTGTATGCCCTCTTTGATAAAATGTCTTCAAATATCTGTTGCCCGTTTTCTAACAGTTTTTTTTTCACTGTTGAATTTTGAGCATTCTTTACATAGTCCCGATCTAGACTTTTGTTGAATTTGTGGTTTGTAAATATTTTCTTCCCGTTTTAGCTTATCTTTTCTTCCTCTTAACAGGGTGTATTAGTTTCCTATGGGTGCTGTAACAAATTACCGCACATCTGATAGCTTAAAACAACACAAGTTTATTCTCTTATCGTTCTGGAGGCCCAGAGTCCACACTGAGTTTCACTGTGCCAAAACCAATTGTCAGCAGGGCTGTGTGCCCTCTGGAGGCTCTAGAGGAGAACATGTCTCCTTGCCTTTTCCAGCTTCTAGAGCGACATTCCTTGCTTGGTTCATGGCTCCTTCCGCCATCTTAAAAGTCAATAGAGTAGCATCTTCAGCTCTCTCTGCTTCCATCATCACAGTGTTTTATACTTTATGTGTCAGATTTCTCTCTGCCTCTCTCATAAGGACACTTATGACTGCATTTAGGGCCACCTGAATAACCCAGGGTAACTTTCCTGTTTCAAGATCCTCAACAAATACTTGATGGATGAAAAAATGATTTGTCTCTCTTGTGTACCCCAGGTTATGTGTCGTCCCAAGCTTATTTCATTTTGTTTTCCTTCAATTAATTTTTTATTTTTGTGAAGACAAACAACACAAAGGAAAACTGATCAACATATTTGAACAGGAACTTCACAAGAGATATCAAAATGTCAGTAAACTTACGAAAAAATGGTAAACCTCTTAACTCACCAGGGAAATGAAAATTAAAACCACAAACACTACCTCATAGCCATCAAAATATCCAAAATAAATAATATTAACAATTCCAGTTGTCAGTGAGGATGTAGAGCAACGGGAACTCTCACACATTGTTCATGGGAATGTAAATTATTACAACCACTTTGGGAAACTGGCAGTATCTATTGTACTAAAGGCAAACACACACAATAGCCTCTAACCCAGTAAATTTACTGTTAGGTATATACTCAACAGAAATTAATAGTACCTGAAGAGACAGGTATAAACATGTTCATACGGCATTATTAGTAATAATCAAGAAGTGGAAACAACCCAAACATCTATCAACAGATTGTATAAATAAACTGTGGTATATGCATACAAAGTAATATAGGGCAATGAAAGTGAACAACAGTTACAGGAATGAACATGGATGCAACTTAAAAACATGTGAAACAAAAGCAGCTAGAAACAAAATATATACGCCGTGAGTCCATTTATATAAAGTTCAAAAGCAGGCATAGTTAAGTCAGAATAGTGATTTAAGCTTACTTTAAATTTCATTCTTTGTGTGATGATTGCCTTAACTGCACCAGTACTTAGTCTCCACCCTCCTCAGCTGTCAGTCCTCCTCCTGGCTTTCCTTTCTATAGTAGCCTATGCTACATTTGTATATTTATTTGTATATAGTCACCAAACCTTGGAGCTCTTCAGTCTTTCAAACTTTGCATAAACTGGGTATGCTTTAACTGTTTTTACAGAACTGGGACAGCACTAGCCTGTGGGTAGTTCATGACACAATTCTGAAGAATGCGGTCTTATTGCTTCAGATACTGTCTCTTTACACCTCTCCATGCCCCAGCTCTATCCCACCACTCCAGATGGGAGAGAAGTACAGTATGCTCCCACCACGTGCCTCTCCTTTCAGCGCTTTTGGCCAAATGATAAGTGTCAGTTGAGCAAGCTTGAAGCAGCTAAGGAACCCACGCTGGCATTATGATAGGACGTTATTGCTACTGTAAATAGTGTAGCTGGGAGCAAGAGGCTAGTGCGGGAGATAGAACACACTGTTTTCAGCTAAGTCTTCAACTTGGCACTTTATATGCCCTATGGTGTGTGAAAATACCTCCGCTTAAATGGGAGTCTCGTCTTCCAAAGGGTCTCCGGCCTGCCACAGTAGGAAATGCTGTGCCTTTCTAGAAACAGCTGTACTTGGGATTTTTAATTGTAGTGAGGTGGCAATGATTGTATACTAGTCCAAGAGTTGCACCCGTTTAAGGTTCTCTCTCACCTGTGGTATCAGGGCATCCCAGAGGTAACCTGCCTGTTTTTGCTCTCTGCCTGAAGAAGTATTCCTTAGCTGTCCTGGGCCCCGGAGCTGCTGGAGTTCCCTCAGCCATAGCGCTAGAAGAAAAATGGGCAGCCTCTGATAGAGGGGAGACTTTGCAAATATAATAAATTGGTTTGCCATTCCTGGGATGGTGATGGAACTATGCCTAAACTTATTTTTCTCATTTGTGTTTTTCAGTTGAGGTATACTTCACATACAGTGAGATGCACAGTTCTTAAATGTATTATTCAGTTTTGAGTGATGCAGACATCTGTGTAAGCCACATCCTTATCAAGATAAAGTTTTCACCACCACAGAAAATTTCCTTGTGTCCCTTTCCAATCTACATATCCCCTTTCATGAAGCAACCACCGTTCCAATTTCTTTCATCGTAGTTTAGTTCAGTCTGTTCTAGTACTTCACATGATTTGACTTCTTTTCCCTTAGCATGTCTGAGATTCATCCATGTTGTTGTGTGTATCAGTAGTTTGTTTCTTCTTATTGCTGAATAGTCTTCTATTGTGTGAATATGCCACAGTGTGTTTATTCATTCTTTTGTTGATGGGCACCTGTTCTATTTCCAGAGTTCGGCTCTTAGGAATCAAGCTGTTATGAACATTCTTTTACAAGGTTTTTTGGTGGACATATATTCCCTTCTCTTAAATAAATACTTAGGAGTAGAATAGGCTATATGTTCACAGGCTATATGTATGTTTACTTCTTAAAGAAACTTCCAAAATGTTTTCCAAAGTGGTTATGCTATTTCTTTGTATAGAGTGCTCCTAAACTTTTATTGTCTCACTTAGAGCAGAAATTGTGGGCACAGGGAGATATCCAGTCTGGTCACCTTTATGCTGTTGGAACTCTAGAGGATATTTTCTGTAATTTTTAAAGAAACAAAACAATAAGTAGAATTTCAACAAGGAAAGAATTTTAATAAAAGATTTATAAATGTTACTTATTCTTCTACCTCTTTGCAGATATATACACTATCTCAGAAAAGGTGCATAGACCCTGGCAATTAAAAAAAAAGAATCAATAGCAAAAAGAGTCAGCAGCAGTCTTTTGATTACTTCTCCCTCCAGTGAGAAGAAAAAAGTCAGGGGACTCAGGACCCATGAAGGGGATTTGTTCCTGAGTCTCCTTAATATGGATATGATAGAGAACAAAGGCACTAAATACTAATATCTAGTATTAGTATTATACTAAAATACTATGTTTGAGAAAAGGGAAGGCTGACCTGCATTTCTTTGTTCTGGTGTTTGTACGTGTGTGTACTGCTCAGGCTGCATCTTTTCTCTCCTACCATCTTTTCATGTTTTGAACATTACCTCTTAGATTTTCCATTTTGTCTTTCAGGCCAAAGAAGCCCTAGAAAATATTGAGGTTCCTGTTGGCTGCCTTTTGGTCTACAACAATGAAGTTGTAGGGAAGGGAAGAAATGAAGTTAATCAAACCAAAAATGTATGTGAGTTGAATAGTATAATTGCAGACATATGGAAGTGATGGTAGGTGTGGAATGAATTTATCGTAGATGACTAGAAGATGGGTCTGTGTAGAGTCCCGTGAGTATCAATGGAAGGATGGTTTCCCTAAACATCTCTTTTTTTGAATGCCCTTTTTTTTCTGATTATAAAAGTGATACATGTTGATTTTTTTAATGAAAATTCTACTTTATAGTAGAATTTCTACATCAATTTAATTCATATCGTATCCTTTAGTACCTTTAAATAATGTATTCCTCGTGGTAAATTAAAAAGTCACCCTCAGTTGATAGCTATGGAAGTATAAAAAGATTGTATAAAGGAAGCTATTCCTAAATCAGATAATTCAGTGAAATACAGTCTCCACCACCTGCTGTCTCTATCTACAGGTACACTTGAAAAGCTTGTGTGACTTTAATTTATTGTGGTTAGGTTGAGAAGTTCATGAATTAAGGCAACACTTCCTGAACATGGTATCACAACAGTGTGTCACAGTGAGTATAATGAAGTATCAAGTTTTAGGATTATAAGAAGTGCTAGGTGGACCCGAGGATAGCTTATGACTTTAATACCCCTCACACAGACCTTGATCTTACCTGGGAGCCAGAGAACACGCTGGCGTTGGAACTGGTGCTGTGAGGACTTTAAAGTTCATCCATCACATCTATCAAAAAGAAAACTCAGATTTAGTGAAACACAAGCAAAACAGGAACCCAGATTCATGAAGCAATTGTTATGTGGATATCAAAATGCTTCTGAGATAAGTAATAAACCATAATACAGCAATTAGTGAATATGCAGATACTTATGCAGGAGTGGAATTTTGTGTTTTAGATAATTGTCATATCTCCCTATGTGTATTTTGTAGTTCAGTACAGTATCTTTAAGGTGAGATCACTGAATGTGCTAGCAACACCCATCTAAACCCCCAGTGACCTGGGTTTCTTACACACCTTGAAATTAACAGAAATTAACAGATTTATTTTTAGTTTTCTATGCTCTATAGAAGATTACCCTATAATCACAGTATAGAAAGACTCTTGACCCCAAATGAGGAGACCCCAATCCTGCTTTTGGCTCTGATACCATCACCCTCTGTCACCACCACCATCACCTCTCCCAGCTGTGTGTCTTTAGTAACCTCCTAACGTAGCTTAGCTTCTGGTTCTTCAGCAGTAAAAGAGTTGATGGAGGTGATTTAGGTCAACGATTACTTCTTGAGAACTATGGGGACATTTGATTCAGTAGTTCTGAATCTGATTTTTAAAAAGCACCCGAGTTGGGGAAACTTTTCTTTTTTAAGCTCCCCATTTGGTGCTGGTATGCAGTCATGTGTGGGAACCTCTTTGCTAAAGCACCTTCCAGCTCCGAGTTTATATTATTTCTGGGCCAGCAATGCTCCCATCTGCCTCTGGCTTCCATGGTACCTTGGCCACTGTGCCAGCACTTTCCACACCCTGCCCTATGTCACAGGTAAATGAACACCTTTCTGTTTGTCCCATCAAATTTTATGCTCGTTGAGGACAGAGACTTTTTTTCCCACAAAGAGTTTAGCACAGTGGCTTATACATAGTTGACATTCCATGTAAGTTTATTGATAAACATGATTATCATGAATATTATCAATAATTATCACATAGCAGAGTGCATATATCACGTTATGCGTCATTGTGCTTCATATAATTCAGATCGCTTTATGAGATGTAGATACCAGTATATCCAGTATTACACTGGGGAAACCAAGGCTTGGAGAAGCTGTGTAACTTGCCCAGGGCTGTATAATCAGTAACATCACAGTCAGGATTCAGATTGAAGTGTGGTTCATTCCAGACTATGTGATTTCTCCTCTACTCAACTACTCCCATGAGGTATCTGAGACTGGTACCAAATGTCTGCTTCTCTCTAGAGTCTGCCAGTATATAAAATCTCATCCCAAAGAAAATACAAGTGATGACATTCCAGTGATGATATTCTAAATATAGATTTGCTTAGAGTGAGGTCAGTGACAGCCTTGAAAACATTCGTATTTCAAGTGTCCCCTGAAATATTCAGGAACCATAGACACATTTTTTTTTGAGACTTCTCTCTCTATGGCATTTTAATTGAAAGAGTGTCCCCTAAAGTATTTAGGTACTTAACTAAAAATAGAGCATAATTCGTGTGGCATCTCAGATTAGGTGTCTTTTGTTGGTGAGGTTATGGTACTTGAACTAGGAACTAGAGTGTCAACTGCTAAGGGTGTCCTGAAACCTTTATTTGCTAAAATGCTGGCAGAAATGATAGACCTATTTTTCATATTTACTTTTGAATATTTGTAAAATACAGTTACATGTAGCCAACAAGGTCAATGCAAGCACCTCTTCTTTCAGGCTACTCGACATGCAGAAATGGTGGCCATCGACCAGGCCCTAGATTGGTGTCGTCGACATGGCAAGAGTCCTTCCGAGGTGTTTGAACACATGGTGCTGTACGTCACCGTGGAGCCGTGTATCATGTGCGCAGCCGCTCTCCGCCTGATGAGTATCCTTTGACTTCATGGGTTAATGTCTCGTACTCTTCCTGTGAACTCGAAAATGGCCAAACATCATAGTAGAAACATAACCCATTTCTACTCCATGAAAACAGAGACTTATGAAACAAATTATAGGAGGTGCACATTATAAAATACAGTATCCCTTGGCCAAAAAATTTTTAGGAAAGATTTTTGAATAATAAAATTACCTCGTTTTTAATATCAATAAACATATAACTATTAAGTAAGCTAGAGCAAGAAACACATGACAAACTGTCGTGTAAAGATAAACCATAAATTAGATTATAAAACGGTGTGCATAGGAAAAGATCTGAAGACTATGCATCTGTTTTGCCTTTAGTGAAGAGATTATAGGTGATTTAAAATTTTTCTTTCTCTGTTAATATGCTTTTATTGTTTATTTTTGCCATGAATACCTATTACATAGAAGGCTTGAAAAATTTTAAGTCAGAAGTAAATACAAAGGAAAAAACAAATCATTTATGATACTATAATTGTAAATAAATGGGAAATTGATAAAGTTACAGCTCTTTGAATTCTGTCTTTCACAGAATAAGCGACACAAATACTGAATACAGCAAGTTAACCTCTAAAGATCTTTTAAAAAATTATTTGATAATTCAACAACTCAATTTCATACTTGCATATTTTTATGTACTTATTTTGCTGTGTGTGAATCATTTAATCACTTTAAAAATAATAGAGAGGGTTTTGAATATGAAAATAGGTACAGTTTCCACTTTATAAGATCTCTGCCCATCCTGCCTTACAGAGTGGCTCTGCTTTAGTCTGGTTTGTACTAGGTCACAGGTTGTATCTGTTTGAGGAAAGAACAGGGAAAAATCTATTATTTTTAAGAGGTGAAAATCCCTGGATTAAATTCCTGCCTCCTTTCTGGCTCCAATTCTCTAACGATTCCAAAAAATCATCTAGGAAAGATCAGAGAGAGCACGGAGCTCTGAGCATTCAGCAGCTACACAGTCAGTTTTCATTCCGTTTGCAGTTGTGACACATTAGTTTCTATATTCTTTAAATCTCTTTCTTTTGTGTAACTGGATTGTGTAACTGGATTTTTAAGACGAAGCCTAAGTTTAATTATTTTTTGATAAGTGTGGCTGTTTTCTTGATAATTAATTTATTTTTTGGCTGCGTTGGGTCTTTGCTGCTGCATGCAGGCTGTCTCTAGTTGTGGTGAGTGGGGGCTATTCTTCATTGTGGTGAGCGGGCTTCTCCTTGCAGTGGCTTCTCTTGTTGTGGAGCACGGGCAATAGGCACGTGGGCTTCAGTAGCTGTGGCTCGTGGGCTCTAGAGCACTGGCTCAGTAGTTGTGGCGCACGGGCTTAGTTGCTCTGCGGCATGTGGGATCTTCCCGGACCAGGGATCAAACCCGCGTCCCCTGCATTGGCAGGTGGATTCTTAACAACTGCACCACCAGGGAAGTCTCAGTTTAATTGTTTTTAAGAGTAGCATGGCCTTTCCTCTCCAGGCTAGCTGGTATAAACCCACCCTAGTTTTGTCACAGTAGGCACTTGAACTGCACACTCTTTGTAGGACCTTAATTCTTCCTTAGAAATCCCGCTGGTTGTCTATGGCTGTCAGAATGAACGATTTGGTGGTTGTGGCTCTGTTCTAGATATTGCCTCTGCTGATCTACCAAATACTGGGAGACCATTTCAGGTAACGTGGACTGTTATACTTTTTCCTTTTTTCTAATTACTGTGATCTCACGATGGGCTTGCAAATAGTTAGCGTGTGCTCAGTACACCAAGAAGCCACGCTAGAACCAGGTGGGCTCTCGGGACCTCTGGTCAACGTCATTGATGCATCAGTGTAAGACCACAGGTAATCATTTCCAGGTGAGTGCTCAGCTCTCTTAATTAACAGAATTCCTCCAGAAGGAGAGTCCCCAGCCTTCTGAGTTTTCCTCTAACAGTCTTCACCCATGCCTTCAGCTATGTTTGAGGACCCTACCACTGTGGGCGTTCTCCATCCATGCGTATGCCTGGCTCCACGCTGTACCAAGTTTGTGTGAGGCTTGGTTACAGTAGATGCTATTTACAGTGAATGTACAATAATTTTGCACAAAGTCAGTCGTTTTGCTTGATTGCCCTGTACTATTTTTGGTGCCTAGCAATCGATACCTGTTTTCATTATTTTTTTTCCTGCCTTTTTAATGTTGAAATTTCCCCCAGGCCCAAGAATCCACTTAGAAATTCTTCTTTCCCTTGAACCTTGCCACTTCTCCCAAAGTTTTTATGTTTAAGGCTATGAACAGTAGGAATTTATATTTCAGCATTTGGTCTGTAGACAAATGCCAGTTTCCATAAACTGGTTTGATTGTTTTTTTCTCCAGATGTAAGGTTGATCCTAAAAGTATTATGCTTTAAAAAGAAAAGGACTTAACAAATTGCTGGACATGGTGGGTAGTTAACAACAAAGACCTCAGATATTCTTGGGAGAATATTAAGTACCTATGAAGGGCTAAATTTGGCTGAATCCCACTGAGAACAAGATTTGGAAAACATTCTATTTTGAGTTTTGCCAGATGAACATTGGCTTTCTTAACAACTCGTGCACTTTTGAGAATAGATGACTTTTGACATCACATCAGAAAAGAAATTGTAATAGAATGATGGAGAGTAAGCAATACAGTTAGCTTGATCATTAAAAAAATAGGCAAAGTGATTTGCTTTTTCCAGTTGCTTCTATCAGTAGCTCAAATTTTGCTTACATAACTCTTCGCAAGTGAATTGCTGACTCTACTTCATTTATGAGAAAGATCTAAAGAATTTCTCAAAGCTTCTGGGCAGAACAAAGATGAGCTATTGGATATCAGACATGGGGGAACATTTTTGACCAACATGCCGGTGACATTGAGTGCACACCATCCTCTCCTGCACGTCCCTGCACAGAATCCAACAGTATCTGGTTGAACCAAAAAATAAGTTCACTTGCAGTGTGTGTACCTGGCCAGATTGGCTCCATCAAAATGAATGGCCATGGTTTGAAGCCACATCTCCAGATTTGATGCCAAAATATGTTTTTTTTTTTTTTTACAGTGTTTTGAGATTCTAGAGAAACTATCGATACCCCAGGCTTCTGGATGCTGTGTTTTCTACTTTTATTTGGTTGGCTTAGGGTGTGGGTAGGGGTGAGGCGGGAATTTGTGGGAGGTGGGATGCTGTTTTTGTATTGCAGAATTATAGATTCTTTTAATACTGTATTATAAGCAGCATTAAAGTTCATAGAGGAGACCTACAGAACTATTCTTTTCAAAGAAGATGATGATTAATTTACTTTACCTGCCTTGTGTAAAAAAACTATTTTAATTAAGAATATGTGCTTTTTGTTAAAGCCACAAATTTGTAGCTATACTAGATGCCCGAAACGATTACCTTAGTAGCTTAGAGAGATCCAGTTTCCTTCTCCACCTGTAACTCAGTGGGTCTGGTCCCTGAGTGCACATTAGAATCACCTGGAGAGCTTGGACCCAAGCCTGTGCTTGGTCCCCACCCCAGACCCACTGAATCAGAAGCCGTGGAGGGAGGGGGAGCATTGGTATTTTTTTAGTGAGCTCCCAAGTGATTCCACTGAGCAGCCAAGGTGGAAAACCAAGGTTCTAACTTTACCTGAGAGGAGAGTGCTTTGTGCAGGTGGGTGCTCCTGAGACAATGAGGAGAGGTGGGGGACCCGGGGGGCGGGAACACTGAACAGTGTAGGAAACACTGTACTCACCAACATGGTTAGAAGATGAAGTACTGAGAAGCCAAGGGAGGAGAGGGTTCAAAAGAGAAGCAAGTGTAGCCAGGAGTCTCCACGACTGCAGAGAGTTGAGGAGAGTGAAAAGACCAGTGTTTTGGTCAATAGGGGCCCTTGAGATATCTAAGAGGGCAATCCTGGGAGCACAAGCCAGTGAGGATGAGGTTGGGGAGGAACTGAGAGCCGCAAAAGTGACGGCCACGATTCGGGAACGTTCTCTGGGAGGAGCAGGGTATCAGCTTGCGTGGGGGACAGGGTAGAAGGAAGATTATCGGGTTTTTTTTCCAGCTTTATTGAGATATAATTGACGTACAACATTGTGAGATTATAAGGTGTACAGTGTGATGATTTGATGCTTGTATACAGCAAAATGTTTATACCACAATAAGGTTAGTTCATACATCCTTCACTTCATATAACTACTATTTTGTTGTTGTTGTTATTACGTTATGGTGAGAACACTTAAGCTCCCCTCTCATAGCGACTTTCAAGCATACAATACAGTATTGTTCTCTTTAGTCACCATGCTGGAACTTACTCTTCTTATAACTGACGGTTTGTACCCTTTGACAAAAGTCTCCCCATTTCCCCCACCCCCTCCGCCCCTGTCAACCACTATTCTACTCTCTGTTTCTATAAAGAAAGTATTGTATATATGGTCATATATATATATGTATATATGAATATTATTCAGCCATAAAAAAAGAAGGAAATTCTGCCATTTTCAACAGCATGGCTGGACCTCAGGGGTGTCATGCTAAGCAAAATAAGCCAGGGAAAGACAAATACTGTATGATCTCCCTTACATGTGGAATCCAAAAACATCGAACTTGTAGCAGGTGGTTTTGATGGGGAAGGTTTATGCAGGTTTTGTGGGCCCAGGCAGGAGCCAGCTGAAGCACAAGAGAAAGGGAGGCTCATCTTGAGCAGTGGACCACACTCGCCGGCCCAGTGCTGGCTCCATCCTCTCCTGGGCACTGCTTCCAGATGGAAGATTCCCTGGTATCTCCTCCATTCATTGCATCACTCGTGCACCTCCAAAGGGGGCAGCGTATCAAGTCCAAACACCTTCAAAGCCCTATATATTTTGACTTCGTTTTTATTGCTTTCATTTCTTTCCTTGCACTCCCTTAATAATCACCCCACCCCCATCAGTTGGTTTTCTCACTCACGACCTAAGCCTATTCCTACTCTTTCCCTGAGATGATCTGCTCACTCTTTTAAAATATTCTCTATCGTTAAGGCAAGTTTAAGTTTCATCCCCCTGCTGTTACCACAATTTCTATTCTTTCACATGTTGATCACTTCTCTGAAGGAATCTACCAAAGATAGAACAAACTGAACACTCAAAAAAACATCCTTTGTAGTAAGGATCGACTGATTTTTTCTTTAAAGAGCCTGAGGGTAAATATTTTAGCCTTTGTGAGCCACTTACATCTCTGTCACATATTATTTATTTTTTAACCCTTTAAAAATATAAAAACCATTCTTAGCTGACCATTTCTAGCTGTGGACTGCCAACCCTAGCTCTATAGAATCAAACACTTAATGGGCCACCAGTAAAGAACAGCAGATAAAAATAGGTTAGTGTTGGGCTTCCCTGGTGGCGCAGTGGTTGAGAGTCCGCCTGCTGATGCAGGGGACACAGGTTCGTGCCCCGGTCCGGGAAGATCCCACATGCTGCAGAGCGGCTGGGCCCGTGAGCCATGGCCGCTGAGGCTGTGCGTCCGGAGCCTGTGCTCCGCAACGGGAGAGGCCACAACAGTGAGAGGCCCGCGTACCGCCAAAAAAAAAAAAAAAAAAAAAAAATAGCTTAGTGCTTAGTGAGCGCTTAATGATATGCCAGGTATTTAACAGGGGTTATATTATCTAATCTCATTTAATCCTCACAAAATCCTTTTGGGTTAATTGCTATAATTCCCTGTATTTTACATATGAGGGAACCGAAGCATAGAAAGTTTAAGTATCCTACCCAAGATCACATAGCTAGTGATTTGTATTATGATCACACAGTAGTTGATTGAGAAATAATAATTAGTTGATCGAGAGAGATGTTTGAGACCATATGTCTGGTTTTTTTGGGGGGAAATATGCTTCCTTACCCATGTTACTAATATCCTCAAGGCATGTTAACACTGGAAATGTGTTTACATAATTCTGTATATATTGCAGTTTTTGTGGGATACAATACACATTTTCCTAGGCCTACATTCATTCTCAGCTTTCTCGTTTCATCAGTGCATCCCTGGATATCGGGCTGAGGAAGCAGTGGAGATGTTAAAGACCTTCTACAAACAAGAAAATCCAAATGGTCAGTTTTCCACTACTGTATGTGTGTACTTCACTTAAATCAGTACGAAGAGAGTCTGCACGGGCCTACCTCTTCATTTTCTTTTTCTTTTCTATTCTTTTCACAGCACCAAAATCAAAGGTTCGGAAAAAGGAATGTCAGAAATCCTGAACTTGTTCTAATGAAAGACTCATGTTCCTGGACGACATTCTTGGACAGAAAGCTGTTGACATTGTTGAATCGTATGTTTATATATTGTCCTTAATCCATGGGAAAATGGTTTTTCATCATTTGCTCTGTTAAGGGAACAAATTAGCACTTTTAAAAAGTCTGACAACTGCAAACAACTCCTAGATTTTCCACAAGCTGGAAGAACATTTTTAAGAAGGGGAAAAATTAAAGATTGACATTTTAGAAATTAGTAAGCAGTGCCTGCTCTTCCTGCCAAAATCGTTATGCTCGGTCCAGGGAAGTGCTGACTTTCAGGGGATGTGTATATCTGGCCTCAGTTACCTGGTGTGTCTGCATGGAGCGCATTGCCCTATGGACACCTGGTCTAGGCCTGGCCTTTCAGACTCGGAGCCTTCATTCTTGGTAGCCACTATGTTCTCCCAGGGTGTGGGGGGCAGGATGTGACTTCCTTGGAAATTGTATACGAATCATATACATATAGACCGTGATTCTATGGTCCTTAGAGCAGACTTTTGCTTTTATAAAGCATTCAGAGAAAATACATACTGTTAAAACAAGTGCTTAAGTATCATTTAAAAATTACAGCATACTGCTATTGTAAAATCTTATTTATGCCTTCTTTGAAGATGAATAGTCTTAACAGTAAAAGAAATGCATAAATGGACAACTCCTTCTTTGTTATTGAGCAACTAAACGGTGCCAGGCTCTGTTCGTTCGCTGAAGCAGTGAGCAAAACAAAGAATCCTGCCCTCATGGAGCTCATATTCTAGCAGGAGGAGACAGATAATGAGCATAACAGATTACACAGTATGTTAGAGGGTGATAAAAATTATGGCAAAAAGAAACAGAACGGGGTAGAAGGGGTGGGCGTGCCATTTGGTGGTGGGAATGCTGGTTGCAGAATTATGGTTAGTTTCATCTGAAATCAAGCACAATTATTTCTCTTTATAAAAATCCAGATTTAGAATTTAAAATCTAAAATGTAAAAGGACTTCCCTGGAGGTCCAGTGGTTAAGACTCCTCACTTGGCACTGCAGGCGGCAAGGGTTCCTTCCCTGGTCAGGGAACTAAGATCCTACATGCCGTGCGGCGCGGCAAAAAACAAAAAACAAAAAGCAAAACTAAAATGTGAAAGTGTCAGCACAACCCTCAAAGGGTATCCACAGCAGGAAGTCCCAGGTATCCATGCTTCCTGACTGCGGCAGGGGTTGCCTCTGATGAACTGCAGCTTTGCAGAGCCGTGCCGGGATGCTCTGCATCTGCCCAGAAGGGGGCCTCGCTGTTCCACCAGAAGCCCAGCTCCAGGCCCTGGAGGGCAGCTCCTCAGTTGCATTTCTTCAGTGGATTTATTTCCTTGATGCAAAGCATCTGTATTTGTTGGTTCTGCCATTTGAGCGATGTCTCTGACTTGTTTGTTTTGAATTACATTACAGGCTGGAATGTAATTGTGGTAAAGTATTTTTATATTGCCAAGAGTAGCAGTTAATCACAGTTACATGCTTCAGAGGATTTATAATTGCTTGGTTTTGTACATGTGTGTTTTTATCTGCATTTGAGAAGTTTTATGGAGAAGAATATGCATGACTTTAAATCTATAATAATGTTACATGTACCTTCCCTTCAATTTCACCTACTTTAAAGATGATCTTCTCATTAAATTTTAGTGCTTTGACTAGGTTATTCCTTTTTGCCATTGGTCATGATTCATTTCTGCTTCTTATGCTTTTCTGCAAGCAGACTTCATTGCACTTATTGTCTTCGTGTCACTTTCTTGGGGATTATTGGTAGATAAAAACCCTGGGAACTTTTTTCTGGGGAGTACCACCCTTTAAGTCCAGCCAAGCATCTTATGTCAAGTAGGTTCTTGGTAAACATTTGTTAAATAAAATTATTGATTGAAATTTAGGGAAAAATTAATAATAAGGAGAATATCTGGGATAAAAAGCCAAAGCCAAATAGTGCCTGGGTATTTTACCCCAGAGATAGTCACTACTAAAAGGATCAAGAAAATAATAAAACTGAAAAGAGGAAAGGACAGAAAAGACTTACCCACTATACATATGTTCTGTCTTTGCTGTGTTTTGGAGAATGGGTAAGTATTCCAAATTCCTAAGGATGGCTGAAAATTTTAATTTTGGTTATTACTTTTTTGATTCTCTTTCCAGTGATTGACTTACAGAATAGTCTCTCCTAAATTTTTGGTCTTAGGCACAGTTCCCTCCATTGCTTTGGGGAACAATCAGTTTGGATGGAGTACTGAAGATGGGAGGTCAGCACCTCCAGCACTGATACAGGACCATTGTGGGCTCACAGATGTGAAGGCTGTGGGATTTTGACAGCAGTTAGGCAGTGGTGGTGAGGAGTTGAGGATGTATGATGAGGTGATCCTGCTTCCTGAGTGGCATATTCTTTAGCTACTTAGATGTCGCTTAAAATATTGAAATGCTGCAGTTAGAAAGATTGAATCCAATTGATTGATACTGATGTAGTGTGTCAAAGAGACAAGCTGAGAGGCTTGTTTTGTGTATGACATAATTCTGCAAGCTGTGGGATGCACAGAGGATTTAGAATCACAGCCTTCTTTGGAGAAATTAGTGGGAAATGATTGCATCTAAGTTGCTGGGGTACCCAATGTTTACTGGTCTGCACCGGACTCTGCTGAGAATGGGTGGTGTGTAATGCTTTGGCACCGTCAGTCACTGATAAAAGATCATGTTAAAATATCTGTGTTTTCTTGTGACTTGGCACTCTCCCTTACTGTGTTGTATTTGGAGTATCATGGAGAGAAAATAGATAGCCAAGAACTCCAACGTAGGCAAGAACTGTTAATTTTTCTTTAAACTCTATTTGGAAATAACTTCAAACTTAGAGAAAAGTTGAAGAAATACCTATATATCCCTTATTCCTTAAACCTATTAACATTTTGTACCTTTAGATTTATCATTTGATATCTATTATTCTCTCTCTCTCTAAAAAAAGTATATATAAATATATATAAATACATATATATCAATATATGTTTTTCTGAACCATTTAGTAGAAAGTTATATACATCATACATTCTTATACAATTCTCATATAATCATGGTGTAGTTATTGACATCAGTAAATTTAACATTGATATAATACTTTAATATACCATTTGTAGTCCAGTTTTGTCTGTTGACCCCTTCACCTCCTTTAGAGAATTTTCCCCACCCCCCTGCAATATCAGATCCATTCTGAGGTCACATATTGCATTTGATTTTCATGTATCTTTAGCTTCTTTTATTCTAGAACATTTCCACAGCCTTTCTTTGTCTTTTGTGACATTGACATTTTAAAAATAATACAACCCTTCTGCTCCACCTCCTTTCTTTTTATTTTTTTATAATGGTGTTTCCTCATGATTAGATTCAGGTTATGCATTCTAGGTGATATTATGTTCTTCTCAGAGTGTCGCATCTGGAGGCCCCTAAAGGCCATCTGTCCCTCGCTGGTGATGTTAATTTTGGTTACCTGGTGAAAGTGTTATCTGATTTCTTTGCCAAATAATTATTGTTTTTTTTCCCCTCCCTTGCAAAGAATATGCAGTCTGGGGAGAGGAACTGTTACATTTTTTGAGAGAAAATGTATTCAACATTGATGGAAAGGAGGGGGAAGAAAATTAATGACATATATTTCAAAGCAACTGTTAAATTATTTGATTGCGTTCCTCCTCTATTATTACGTCTGCCAAAATTTATAAAATTCTTTACAAATTCTTTTCCTAATAATATTTTAAATAGGGATGTCTTAAAACTCAAAAGGCAGCCTCAGAAATAAGTTCTCTCCTAATCTTTTCCTCAGCAAAAGTAACAATTATATCAATTTAATTATATATCTGATAAGATAGAGTTTTGGGAAAATAGGTCTAAGATGTTTCTGGTTTCACAGATGGCCTATAGTGATCCGAGAGGATCTAGGTAGGTAGTCATTTGGCCATAAAATGTGAATTCTCTTGGGTTTCCATAGAGATATCTAGACTTAAAATGTTTTAAGCACTGCTACTTTCAAAATGACTGTCAGTAAAAATAGCAAAAGCCAAGGCTCTTTTTGAAAAAAAGTAAACATTTTTTTTTAAAGTAGTGAGAGTCCTGGTTAAAAATCCACGTTGAAGCCAAAGCTTGTCCTTCCCAGTCATTCTGCATCAGCTGGCCTTGAACAGCCCTGAGGAGAAGAGCCATCAGGAACTGCTTTCCCTGATTTTGGCAAAGGAATGAGACTACATTGACTTCATCTATGAAGACAACTGCCAACTATTTTCTTACTCCGTGAACTGTTAATTGTGCGTGGTGAGGAAAGGGGTGATGGGTGACATTATTTTTGTGCTAAGACTGGCATGTGTTTTTGTGCTAAGACTGGCATGTGTTCCGGCAAAAGTTTGACATTTTTAGTATCTTTGTTTTTTCAAGTTGAGCGAATAAAAACGGGCTCGTGAGATTATTTCTCACCTGATTTTTAAGTGACCACTGGGCTCCATACCATGTGTCCATGACTACTAGGGAGACTTTGTGACATGGTTGAAGAAGCATGAACTTGGAGGTCTGGAGCAGGGGCCGGCAAACCCAGCTTGCTGGCTGTTTGGGAACAACTCACAGGTTGAAAATGGTTTTACACTTTTAAATGGTTGAAAAAAATCAAAAGGAGATTTTAGTGACCCGTGAACATGTGAAGTTCAAATGCCAGTGTCCATAAATTAAGTTTTGTTGGAACATAGCCATGCCCATTTGTTTCTGTATTGTCTGGGGCTGCTTCCGTGCTATAGTGGCAGAGTCAAGTAGCAGTGACAGAGACCTGTGGTTCCCACAGCCTAAAATGTCCAGTGTCTGGTCCTTTAAGAAAATGTTTGCTGGCCCCTGGTCTAGAGAATATGAAATGTTGAGGTTGGATTTCTAAGGTGCTTATTCAAGTTCTGTGACTTTGGAACTGAGTCATGTGGTTCATTGCGCAACTGTGGTGAATTGCTTCGGTACCGTGATTCTTTTTTCAAGTCGGTTTATGAATATGAAAGAGAGATCCAGGATACTAAAATATTTACCCTGGCTTAGAATATTTTGTTTCCTTACATACACTTTAAGGGAGTGTCAAGGAGAAAAGATAATTTATCATTTTATTTGGGTTTAGACTAAAAAAGCCCATTTTATTCATGATCCTCATATAAAAAAGATTATCAAGTATTTATCACTTTTACTATAATGTCAGAAATCTATTGGACCCTTTTAAAAAGCAGGACTTAAACAGAAGCTACCTCTATACCATCCCCATCACTGTGCCTTTGTCAGTTTTCTTGGGGAACAGGCTTGGTAACCCTTTGGTGCTAGAAAAGACAAAAAATAAACATTTATTAGGTATTGTGTGTGTTTGTGTGTGTGTGTGTGTTTGTGTGTTTTAACCCAGCATTGAGTTCAGGACAAAGCCTTATGCATAATAGACAGACACTATGTCTTAATTCTAAATTGCATAGTAAAGAAGTCTTTGAGGCAGACTTGATGGAGAAGGAGGGACACTAGCTGTGCCCTGAAAGGCAGGTAGGATTTGGGAAGGCAGGTGAGAGGGTGAGGGCTGCATATGCGATACTAGAGTAGGGGAAAAGCAGTGATGTGAAGATCCAGGCCAGGAATGCTTGGGCCAGGTTACAAAGATCCCCTACTTCTTTCTGAGACGGAGTCTTTTTTTTTTTTTTTTTTGCGGTATGTGGGCCTCTCACTGTTGTGGCCTCTCCCGTTGCGGAGCACAGGCTCCGAACGCGCAGCCTCAGCGGCCATGGCTCACGGGCCCAGCCGCTCCGCGTCCTGTGGGATCTTCCCGGACCGGGGCACGAACCCATGTCCCCTGCATCAGCAGGCGGACTCTCAACCACTGTGCCGCCAGGGAAGCCCGAGAAGGAGTCATTTTTCATTCTCTTTCTGATGTGAGTGATTTCATACTCGTCCTGGAGTATGAGTGGTTTGGGGTAGGGGATTGCCAGGGAGCAAAGGTTCTGATCCTACTGTCACTGAAGAATCACACATCACTAGGCAAGATTTGAGTTGTGGGCACAGAATGTGTCAGTAATAGATGCTAACATTTACATTGAATGTGTACCAGGCTCTATCCATATGTTACCTCAGTAATCCTCATATCAACCCTAAGAATCAGTACTGTTATCATCTCCGTTTTACATCAAGGAAACTGAGGCACAGGGAGGTTAAGTAACCTGTCCAGGGTCGCAGAGCACTAAGTGATTGTATCAGAATAGGCTTGTTTATGTCACAGGAACAGCCCTTACATTTTAGTGGCTTAGAACAAAGCTTTGATTCTCTCGTGCTTTACTTCTTGTCCATCTCAGGTCAGGCCAAGGGCTTAAGGCCACCATCTGGGACATCATCAGTCACGGTGGCAGGGAGATGAGCAAATGGCGAGCAGGGCTCTTGCTTTGGAGCAGGGCTTCCCACTCGAATGTGTGTGTGCATGGCCTGGGGAGCTTGTGAGGTACACATCGTGAATCAGGAGGTCTGGGGTGGGCCTGAGATTCTGCATTTCTAGCAAGCTTCCAGGTGGGTCCTATACTGCTGGACCATGGGCCACTCGAGTAAGGAGGGCTTACTGACTTTTGCCCAGAAGTGAATCATCACTTCTCGCATAGGAATTAAAGTAAGTCACACAGACACGCCCAACTT